TGTAGCTGCGGGCACAGCCAGTGAACATGCTCATCCTGATGTCCTAACAGTGTAACACCCTGCCTTCTTGGTGTGACACCTGTGCCATACCAGCATCCAGGATGCGTGCAAAGGGCAGAGCATTGCATAAGGGATGGGTGCAGCCCAGTGTGGGGTGGCACAGGTTCCATCTCTGCCTCCTGGATGTGAGACCTGCCTGCAGGGCACATTGCACTTTCCCATGTCTCCCAAGGAGCATGGTCTGGGATGCAGGGACTGCTCTGGAACCACGAGGTGGGAGGGGATGGGAGGGCGCAGAGCAAGGTGTGCTCTCTGTCACTGCCATGGGCTGCTGAGACATCTCACTGTGTTCCCTTAGCAAATCATTGCAACCCAGGAGGAGATGCTGCACAAGGAGTGGGAGCTGGAGGAGGCATGCAAGAAGTTGGCTATGATCCGGCAGCAGCAGTACAAGTTCCTGCCCTCCGAGCTGCAGGAGGAGGAGCAGAACTGAGCCCCACGCCACCGCTCTGTGCCTGGGCAGAGACTTCCTGCCATTCACTGCACAGACTGCTGACGACGGCTCCTATTTAAGACACCCCACCTCGAGCAACGCCGGGCTGCCTCGGGTAGACTAGAGCCCTGCCTGCACCAGCGCACCAGGACTAACCCATACACTGCGCAGCACTGCCCCGAGCAGGTACCACACCAGCATCTCCGCTTCGCCACCCAGCCCGCCTTCCCACGCGCCCGCGCCAGGGCCCAACCAGCACCCCTGTAGGGGGCTGCTAGGAGTGGGACCTGTCCTGGACCGGCTCAGGGTGCCCCTGCTGCTAGCCCCAGTTGCAGGGACATAGGGCTCCCTCCTGTGGTGGGTCCCGGCCCTCCAGACCTTTCAGAATTTTTCTTGTGCCTTTGTTGTTCCTTCTCTAGCTCCTTTCTTCTCCCTCCTCCAGGTAGGAGAGGGGAAGGCTGGTGTCTTGCCCTATCTTGTACGCTGCTCTGCACCTTCCTTTGCTACGCTCTTGCACAGAGCCGCCTTTCACCTCTGTTGCCTTACTGCTGGCTGAATTGCCCACCCCTCTTCCTCTGCAGCATCCCCAGGAGGCACTGAACCACCCCAGAGCATCCTCTCCAGTCTGGGCTTCTTGCTGGAGGCCCAGGCTCACCACCACAGTGCCTCTGCTCAGGGCTGGTGCAAGATGGCTTTGCCCCAGAACTGGTCTCCCCCACCTTGTCCCCTTTTCTGAGGATCCTGCCTCTCTGCCCTCCTCCTTTTCTTTCCCAAGTGCCTGCATTGTTTTCCAAGATTTTCCAGTATTCTTTATAACTTCTAAATGTCTGTAGTATTGAGCCTGCAGCTTTCAAAGTTCATTTATCTCCTTGTTCACGTCATCCCCACTAACTGCCTGCAGCCCAGTGCCTGTCCAGGGGCCCGGAACTCCTCACCCCTCCATGGCTCCAGGACCCTATCCCTCCCCTTGCACTTGCTGAGGTTTCTCTCAGTATTTTGATACTTTAAGCATCCCCTATTACACATAGAAGGAAGCCAGCTCTCCCTGAGGCTCTAGGGTGCGGTAGGGGGATGAGGATGGCTCCTTGGGAAGATGCCTTCATCAATAAAAAAGGATTTTCTGCTTTCTCCGTGCATATGTCGATGGGGAGGTGCAGGGAAGGGGAGATTGCAACCCAAGGAGGTGGCCAGCATCTGTTTGGGTCTGCTAGGTTGACCTGGGGCACTGGGACGGTGCAGGGTGGCCCCAAGGAGTAGGGCTGGTGGGCAGGGGTGCTGCAGACCCCACCGCGGGCTGTGTGAGGGGACTGCCAGCCCTCCTTGGTGGTGGTGGGGAAGCGCAGTGCGGGTGCTTATACAGCATGGAAACTATTCGAGACATGTCCAGGAGCGGCACTCAGCTGTCCGGACCCCTTCTGCCAGCCATGTGCAGTCCTTGCAGGTGCTGCCGGGGGCCAGGGAGGATTTTGTTGCTAGGGGATTTGAGGGCCGGCCGGGCTTCAGCGCAGCAACTGCCCCTGGGGCTTTGCACTCCTGGCCCCATTCCTGCAGCCAGCTGAAAATATCCCTGGGCAGGGCAGCAGGAGGGGGTGCAGGTGGGTCATCCCCCAGTATGCTGACCCCCCCAAACCACCCCGGTTGTGGCTGCGGCCGTCTGCGTGCCAGAGGGCCAGGAATGTGGCCTGAGCTTTCCTGGCTGCTGGTGCTGAGCTCAGGCCCTGAAATAGCCCCCTGGGGCTGACCTGTGCAGGTGGCAGCTGCCCCAGCTTGGCTACTTCCCCACCTGCTCCCATGCCATCACTCAGCTGGGTTTGGGGAGACCCGAGTGGTGGAAGGGATGCTGTGGGGCGGAGTGGGGACACTTCTTTCCCTGCGATCTGTCCCCTGCACCCTGCATCCCCCCCTCCCCAGAACATACCAGCACCAGCAAACACTCAAGAGGCTGAGTTGCCCTGTGAGTATTGCATGTCACAACTCTGCAAGGCCTTTGCTTGGGGCGGGGGGGCATGTTGTGGGGCTTGGGGCTGTTCTGGGTCCCCCCACAGCACAGCAGCATCCCACAGCATCCCAGCTGAGCCTGGGGTACTGGCACGCCCAGGGTGCTAAGATGCTGTCCCCCCTCACCTGGGACATTCTCCCATGGTGGCCTGTTTCCAGGGCAGATTTGTGCCTCCCACAGGAATCCTAGCCCTCCCAGCTGTCCCCTGACAATCTGTGCTGACCTGACCTGGCACCAGGCTCCCACCCAGGTACAACCAGACATGGGACCCTCTGATCGCACAGCAAGGAAAGCAAGCAGGCACGTCCCACCCTGCCACCCCTGGACCTGGGCAGGGGGCTGCCAGCAGTGGGGACCCCTGGCCACATCCTCTGGACGAGGGGAGGAGACACAGATCCCAGCACTAAATCCATGTGGGAGGGACATGGGGCAGGATTCAGCCTGTCCAGAGCTCCGGCCCCATAAATATTTCTGGCTGGATTGTGGGGGGTATTTTTGCACACAGGTTCCAGCAGGCACAAGTGGTGCTTGGACTTGGGACACCTCAGTCACAAGGTGCCAGCGGCCCAAATTTGTCTGGGCTTGGGAAGCTGCAGCCCGGCTCATCAGGAACTCCTGGGATGGGATGAGGCTGCAGCACAGGTGGCACCCAGGGACATACCGTTAGCAGGAAAAGCCTTTCCCCAGGAGGGCACTCAGACCCCAGAGCAGGGAACGGAGAGGGGATGTGCACCCCTTGCACCCATTTGTCCTGGCGGCCACCCTGGAGGATGGCTTCGAGGGCAGGCTCACAGATGGGGTCACCCTGATGGCCCCAGCTGCCTGGGGAACTGTGTTCCTTGGGGGGGGGGGGACACGATGATGACACATTTAAAAGCCCCCATCCCTTTCCTGGCTCCTCACATCATGCACATCACCAGCTTTGCCCTGAGCTGAAGCATCTCCTCAAAAGCCATCCATCCTCATCTGGGAACAACAGGAGATAGATCCTCCCCCCTCCCCAGCAGTAGCATGCTGGGGGTTCCTGGCTCTCCTCCAAATATGTGCCTAATTCATCAGCATTAATACTACTTGCCAGTGTCCAGCAGCGGCTCTGCTGTTTTGCATGGCTCCTGCAGCCCCTTGGTCCTTGGAGGATGCCTCTCATGTCCTCCCTATGTCCCCCAAAATCCAGGCTGCCCTCAGCATTGCCCCCAGAAAGCTGTTTCCTGCACCCCATTTTGGGGAGCCCTGTGCTGGGCTGGATGCAGCCCCAGGGCGATGGGCTGGGGAGTTCACATGCCCCCCTCTCCCTGCCCCAGCCCAGCCCAGCCCCTCATTTCCTGTGGCCTCCCAGGCTCAGAGCCCACCCTGCAGCTGGGAATGCGCCAGAAGTATTTATGAGTGGCATTAAGCCATGGGGTATTTTTGGAGGAGCCAGGATCTGAAGGGTTTGCATTTTTTTTGGCCTGTGGAATGTAGTTTATTTAGAGCAGAAGGAGTGGGGCAGCCTGCATGCCCCATGTCCTCCCAAAACACCAGCCTATGGGATGCATAGGTGCTGGCTGTCCCTGCATGCTGGGGACAATGGCACCTGGGCACAAGGTGGCAGCGATGTCAGGGCAACACTGGGGCGCCTGCGTGGAACCAGGGCCCCTGCCTTGTTGTGACGCAGGAATGGGATCGGGAGGTTGTCGCTCAGCTCCCTTCTCTCCCAAAGGGTTTTCCCTGTGTTTTACTGCCAGGTCTAGTGTGGATGCCAGGGCAGTGTGGGGAAGTGTCCTGGGATAGCTGTGCTGGGAAAAGCCTGCTTGGTGCAGGGGGGACAGTGGGATTCCCACTGTGGCCACCTTCACCGAGCATCCCTGTGCCCATCGCTGGCCCTGGGGGGTGGCAGGGGGATGGGGACAGGCCCGGGCAAGCAATGGGACTGGTCCTGGGAAACAGTACCGTTATTGGAGCAGGGATCTCCTTAGGATAGAGCAACCCCCTGTGAGTTTAGGGGGTGGGATGTCTGGTAGGGGAAGCTTTGGGGGACCCCCAGGGCATGGAACTGCAGCAAAGGGGCTGCAGTGCTGGTAGCATGGTGTCCTGCAGGGGAGATGGGGGGGGGCACAGACAACCCAGGGGACCCTGGGGCACAGCAGCATCATGACAGTCCTTGGGTGTTCCCCACTTCATTCACAGCCCAAGGAGTGTCCCTGCGGCCCCAGGAAGCAGTGCCTGTGGGGTGTCACAGCACGTGTGTGTCCCCACAGCACAGAGCCCCCGGGGTGTCCCCAGCGCTGTCCCCCGGGGGTGTCCTCAGCCCATCGCCACCGGGGCAACCCTCTCCCGGTTCCCCCGCGGGTGCCTGGTGCCGGGGGCCGTGGTGGTGCCTACCGGGTGCCTCCCCCCCATACCCCCCCTTCTCCCATCCCGCTCGGTGCCGCGGCCGGTGGCGAAGCCTGTCCCTAAAAGGTGCTGGCGGGCGGTGGGGGAGGTACCGGGGAGGCCCCCACCCGCCGCGGCCCCTCCCCGGCTCTTAGGCGGCGCGGCGAGGCGGGGGGCTCAGTGCCGGTACTGCCGCCGCCCCCGGTGCTCCGTGCCCCGCCGCCACCCTAAGCTCCGCCACTGCCACCATGGAGGCCATCAAGAAGAAGATGCAGATGCTCAAACTGGACAAGGAGAATGCCATCGACCGAGCTGAGCAGGCAGAGGCTGACAAGAAGCAGGCAGAGGACCGCTGCAAGCAGGTAGGTGGGTGTCCCACAGACCCCCCCCCCCACCAAAAAAAAAAAAAGTTGATGGGGACCCCTGCCCTAAAGGGGTTTGACCCCAGGGACCTTGCCCTACTGTGTGTCCGACCTTGGGAACCACCACCCTGGGGACACCCAGCCCTGGGGACCTCACCCTGCTGGGTGGCCAGCCCTGGGGACCAGTGTCCCAGCCTGTTGTACCTGGCCTCAGCACTTCCAAAATACACTGGGTCTTGGTGGGACACCCCAGTGCCAACTCCCTGTCCCTCTGCCGGGGAGACCCCTGGGGGGCAGCATGCTCCCACCTCAACCACACAGAGATGGGGACCTTCCTGGTGCCCCTGCAGCTGTGTCCTCAAATCAGGACCCCATTGCCCCCTCCAGGCTCAGGGGTGCTCCAGCCCCAAGGGACCTGGGGCTTCCCAAGAATGTGTGACCCCTGAACTGACAGAGTGATTGTGTCCACTTGCTCCTGCTGTGCCCCCAGCCTGGGCCACCCTGGGATGAGGGTGACTGTCCCCTGCCAGGTGGGTGCCCCAGGGTGACCAACTGTGCGTCAGGGGTGCCATAATCCATCTGTGGGTGCCCCCATAATCCATCCCTTCTGCAGCTGGAGGAGGAACAGCAGGGCCTGCAGAAGAAGCTGAAGGGCACGGAGGATGAGGTGGAGAAGTACTCTGAGTCCGTCAAGGAGGCCCAGGAGAAGCTGGAGCAGGCGGAGAAGAAAGCCACAGATGTATGTAGGCAACCCCTCTTCTGTGTGGGCACTGGACCCTGGGGGGGGGAGCAAAGGAAGAGGGGAGCCTTATATGGCAAGCATTGGTGGGGAAGGGTGGCAGGATCCGTCCCTGCCATGCTGACACCAAGCCAGGCAGTGGGTGCCAGGCAGGTCCCACGCAGGTGCCTCCGGTACGGGGGCACTGCTCAGTCCCAGCACCCCAAAACACGGGGACAAGCAGCCTCGCCATGCATTGCCAATACATGTGGAGGGAAAACTCCACAGTGGTCGCACAAATGTGTTAGAAAAGTGAAAAAGAGCAGAGAAACAGGAAAAGCTCTCGCCTGTGGCCAGCTGCTGAGCACTGGTTGCATAGGATTCTTGGAGTTTGTGGGAGGACAGTCCTTTTGGGCTCCAACATGCCATCCTGTACCCTGGGAAGGGAAAGGCCAGGAAGAGTTTTATTTAGGGCTATGACTGATGTTTCTCCTGGGAAATGGATCCTGGCAGGGAGATGTTAGGAAGGTGTTGAAATTGGCTTGTGCCTGACCAGGATGAAGGGTGGAACAGCTGTGCGTGGCCTCATTGCTGCTCAGGAACTGGGTATAACAGGGTATTTGACACCCTATAAATAAATCCTCCTTTTGATAGCCAGTCCTTCTCTGATGAAAACCAACCCTGGAAACTGGAGTAGAAACTAAAGGGGAGCCATTGGGAGTGCAGCCAGCAGGGGCACGGCCAGGCTTTTCAGGACTGAGAACCAAAAATTCAATCCCAGCTGTTTTATGGAGCCAAATGGGGGAGATGTGTCAAATCTCCAAGGTGGCTGCCAAGGACAGAGGAGAGTAGGCAGGGACAAGCAGTGGCAGTAAAGTCCCCAGGGTAGCCTAGAGTCCCTGGGGAGTGACCAGGACCCACCCCCCATGCCACCTCACAGGGACCCTCAGCCTCCATGGGCACAAGGGGTGCCGGCAGCGGAGAGGGGGTGAGGAGGGGGTGTCCCCAGCCTGTGTGCCCCCCCAAGCTCTGGGCCGCAAGGTGCCAGAATCCCGCCAGCGCCAGGCTGCATCTTGCAGGAGTTTTGAGAAGTTTGTCCTGATAAATACTCTGGTGCTGTTTGCTGACCCTTCGGGCCTGCCCAAAGTTAGAAACAAACCCAAGTTGTTAAAACATTGGAAATACTCTGGAAGGGCTCATTTGTCTTGGCAAGAGGCAGGCATGCTGGACTGGCCAGGGAGGGATGAGCTGCATTCCAGGGTCCGTGCCAGGGTCTGTACCCATCTGATGGGATCCATATGGGGTGGGGCGAGCTCAGTGTGGGGCTTGGCGGGATGTGGGGGGGACTCAGGGGTGCTCGGTGGCACTGAGAGAGGTCCACAGCAGTGGGGAAAGGCTGCGGGTTTTGGTGAAGAAAGCAGGTTTCCCCCCATCCTGGCAGGTATGGGGGCGGGGAGCCTCTGGCCCCTCGAGGGAAGGGTCTGGAGCAGGGTCACAGCGAAGGAGCCCTGCTGCAGTATCGGGAAGGGCAGGCTGTCTGTGCCATTCACAGGGACAGGCTGTGCTCTGTGCAAGACCTGGAAGTCACCGGGTGTCCATGGCGGGGACATGAATGTGCTGACAGCACTAAGTGCTCCCTGCTCCGGCAAGGAGGAGCAGGACAGAGCCCCAGGTCGGCAGCTCCATGGAGCTGTGGATCCTTCCCAGCAGCTTTATGAGGCCACCGTGGCCCCATCATCTCCTTGTCCCCCAAGAAGGACAGCCCACAGGGACAATGCACAAGTCCAACAGCAGCTGGAGCAGGGTTTATTCCCTGCAGCCCCTCCAGCCCCACATGTCCCCAATGGCCAGCCTGTCTCCAGCCGCCCGCTGAGCACAGGGAAACTCAGGCTCTGCCATTCCCAGGCCATGATCCTGGAGGCTTCACCAAGTTCCCGCCCCGTTGCTCTCCCAAGCTGAGACTTTGCTCTTATTTGGTGATTCCCTGAGCCAGTGGGAGGGAATGGGGCACTGCTGGGAAGTGACTGCATCCCTGGGTGGGGCCAGAGCTGGAGGCACCCAGCCTGGCTGCCACAGGACCAGGGTGCCTGCCCCCTAGCCTGCCCTCTGCTGCCATATCCCATTGCCCCTTAGCCAGTGGGACCCCTGTGTCCCGTGTGCCGCTCTGTGCCCGAGTGTCACACTGGGAGCGGGAAAGGACCGGGGCCAAGTACAAGGCCACGTGCTCCCATGCTGCTGCCACCTGGCCAGGGGCATGGGGCTGCAGGCCCCCCCCTCCAGTGGCATGTCTGGGTGCTGCCCTCCCCAAGGTGGCCCCAGACCCCATGGCAGCCAGCAGGAACAGCCCAGGAATCAGCATCCCTGGAGGCAGGTGTGAAGTAAGGTCAGGGCTGCCCGGGAGCTGTCAGAGCTCCTTAAGGCAGGATTGAGTGCCACTGTGCTATGGCTTCCTAACGCATTGGGGCATCTGCTGTGGCCAAGATGCAGAGCTGGGGGACTGGCCTCTCCCATGGGGCACTGGCCCCAGGGGTCTCTGTGGGGCTGCCAGCCAGGTCCCAGTTTAGAGGAGCACATGCCAAGGGGTTGAGACACTGGGGGGCACACTGTGCCCAGGTATCCAGGGGGATGCCTGCCCCATCCCTCTCATTGACTCACCTATGGGGCAGAAATTCTCCCCACCCCCCCCGGCTTTGCAGCAGGTGTGTGAAGAGGCTGGGGAGCTCCCATGGGTATGCCACTCCCCTGTCTGTGGGGGCCCACAGGGCACCCCCTCAGATTCCCCGGACCCTTGTCCCCCCAGCAAAATTGACTTGCTGAGCTCCTTTCCGCCTGTCTACTAGAGCTTGGCGGGGACATGCACTCCTGCCTGGGGGGCACTGTGTGCCCTGTTCCAGGAGGGGGCTATGTCCCCTATGCTGGGGGGCACCCTGTACCCTAGCTGGGGTGGGGAGCCATGCACCCTGCCCAGGGGGGCAATGTGCCATGCCCAGAAGGCACTGTACATCTTCCCTCAGGAGGGGGGAACTTGTCACCTCAGCCTGGGGCGGACGTGTGCCCTGCCAGGGGGGGCATGTACCTCCTCTTCAGGGCAGGGGCTGCATACCCAGCCGGGGGGGGAGCATGTGCTCCAACTGGGGGCACCACATGCTCTGGCTGGGGAGCATGGTGGGCCTGGGTCCTGGCAGGCCATGGTGGCAGCAGCAGTAGGAGGAGGAGCAGGAAGGGATGGAGGCAGGGTGGGCGGCAGGAGCGACTGCTGCCTGAGCGCTTCCTGCCCAAGCCAGGCGGATCCCACAAAGGGCTCGGCAGCACAGACTCTTTGTGCTCCCCGCTGGCCACACGGCCATGGCTGGCATCAGCTCCATTGATGCCGTCAAGAAGAAGATCCAGAGCCTACAGCAGGTGGCTGATGAGGCGGAGGAGCACGCCGAGCATCTGCAGCGGGAGGCCAATGCCGAGCGGCAGGCCCAGGAGCGGGTAAGGCTCCTGGGGCTGGGGACCCCTGGGACCCCCACGCTGCAAGGGGGGCTGGACGGCTGCCAGCCCCTCAGGGCCAGACACCAGGAAGCGGAGCACTGTATGCCCTCCTGGGTGTTGGCTGCCCTGGTACGAGCATGGGCAGCCGATCCCCAGCTGCCCCATGGCATGCCTGGGTGGGATCCGGCACCGGCATCCTCGCTGCCCCTGGGACAGAGAGCTGGGGGGGCATGGCACAGCTGAGTTGTGCATCCTGGTGCATGAGAGCTCCCTGGATGCAGGTATGGGGTGGGGGGCTCTGGGCAGGGTCCTCGCTGCCAGTGGGCTGCCCAGTGCCATGGGAGGTACCCGTGGACCTTGCTAGGGATGCTCCTGTGACAGGGCTCACTGCGGCTTCCCCAGCTGGCAGGACATGGGGCAGTGGCCAGCTCACTGCCTTGGCTTGGCTGGGGCCAGTAGACCCTGGGAAAGGGTTCCCCCCACCCCCTGAGGTTTGGCTGAGAATCCCATGCCCAAGCTCTGGGTTTGACTTCCCAGCAGAGCCCCCTGCTCTCCAGCATGTCCCTTGGCAGGGAGAAGCCACCCCATCACACTGCTGTCGGCCAACATTTCCACTCTTATGTTGGTAGGATGGCATTTCCAGGTTGCATCTTGTTCCTGGTGTGGCTTTTTTGTTGTTGTTGGGTATTTGTGTGTGTGTTTTTGTTTTGTTTTGTTTATTTTTCCTATGCCTTCCCCGCTCATTTAACATCCTTGCGCTATCAGGGGCAGCAGAGCTGGGTACAGTACCCGGGCTGTTGTCACTGGGGCTGTGTGGGGAGAAAACAGCCCCTTCCTGCAGCCGCAAATCGGTTTCCAGGTCACCAGGAGCTGCTGGTGAGCATGTTTCCGAGTGCCCATTTGGGCAGCTCTGACCCACTTTGGGGGGCAATCCCAGGGAGAAAAGTCCCTGCTGGGGTGAGGCAGAGCATCTGTAGAGGTGCTGGCTGTGCCCACCAGCACCCTATGGGGGACTGTGGTGGCGGACATGGGGACATCCCCACCTGGCTCCCCACTCCCTCTGCTCCGTGTCCCAAGGGTGCTTCCGCTGCTAGAGCACAGGGCCAGGCCAGGCCTGCTCCAGCCCATGAATGAGCAGGAGGCATGATCCCCTGGGCTGCTGCCTGCCCCTTGGTGCTCTCACTGCTGCCCATCCCTTTGCACCCCAGGGTTTTTTTCTTCCCACCCCGCTCCTTCCAGCAGCCTCCCTCCCACACACCCCCGTGGGGAGGGGCCAGGAGCTGCTGAGGCAGCATTTCCCAGTGGTGATGGAGCAGGAGGCCTTAGCAAATGGAAAGAGCGCAGGGCCAGGCATGGAGGGGCTGGCAGGGGGCCAGGGCCACTGCTCCCGGCCTGCCCGGCTCCTGGGCTTGCGCACGGGGAACCTGGGAACAGGGAGGAGGGTAGTGGAGGGGTCAGGGGGCAGATAGGACCCTGTCCTGCCAGCCGGAGGCTTCGGTTTGGCCAGGATCCAGCCCACCGAGGGCAACTCACTCCATTGCCCCTGGTGCCAGGCTGTAAATGGGGGGGGGGGGGGGGGGCACAGGGGCTCCAAGCAGCCCCATGGCGCAGTGAGGCTCGGCGGTGTGGGGCCAGGGAAGGCGTCCCAGCTATTTGGCTCTGCTGCCACATCTGTAAACAGGAAATCCACAATTGGCTCCCATCCTCTTTTCAGGAGTGAATCTGCACAGGGCATTCCTCCTCCTTTACTCACTGTTCTGCAAACCCCAAACACCATCCCTGTGATGGCACAGCCACCCTGGCCATCCAACCTGTGATATATGGAGTAATAATTCGTGTCAAGAAGATGGTTGATATTAATAAAGAAGGGGGAGATGTGGGCAGACTCTTAACGATAAGGCCACCAGGAATGTAAAAGAGTTTAGAGGGAACAAAGAAGGGTGATTCAGGAGACTCCATGCAGTCTCGGGTTACTTGTTCTGTAGCCATTAAGGCATGGAAGTTGCTGGGTGTTTGCTGTTGCTGGGCAAAGTTGTTTGACCAATGAAAAGTTGTTTTTGAAAAGGACTGCTGTGGGGTGAAGGGTATAAGAGGGGAGCCTGTCCTCAAGATGAAAAAAAGGCAACACAAATGGAAAATTGAGACTGTTATATGATAAGTCATTCAAGATATGGGAGCACTTCAACCAGGATTACCAACTCCAACTACGCTCCCCCAGTCATGGACATTACCTTTTCTGATTGTACATATGCATAGGTGTACTTGGGTTTAGTATGTAAAAGCAATGTTCTGTATATTTAGAAGGTTTGATGTTCGTGTGTGCATGTTGGTAGAGCACAGACTCCCCGCTCACCCAGTGCTGTTTACTTGCCTTTTATAAATATTACTAAATTCAGAATGAGTTGAGATTTCATTTATAACACGACCCATTGAGCATGTCTCTTCCATCTCCAGGGCTGGGGCTGGGGGCACAAGGATGTGGTGCAGGGGCTGCACATGCCAAACTCAGGACAGAGTTTTGTGGCATCAAATGAGATGCTAGGGATGGGGAAAGCTCCTTTGTCCTCATGGAAGGGTGATGGGGTGTGTGCCCCAGCCGGGCGAGCGCTTGTGGGAGTGCAACATGGTATGAAGGGGTGCTCTAGCTAGCAAATGCAAAAGCAACTGCTGAAAATGAGTGGGGATGGGCGGTGACAGAGGGGTTTCTGCTCCACAGGCTGAAGCTGAGGTGGCTTCTCTGAATCGCCGCATCCAGCTGGTGGAGGAGGAGCTGGATCGGGCCCAGGAGCGCCTGGCCACTGCCCTGCAGAAGCTGGAGGAGGCTGAGAAGGCGGCGGATGAGAGCGAGAGGTGTGATGGGGGGGGAATGACGACAGCCAGGGTTGCCTTAGGTCACCCTTGATTGAAGGCAGGACCCCTTGTCTTTGCAGAAGGGCTTTGGGAGCCTTAAAATTGAACTGACCTCATGGGGTTTGTGTTAGTTTCCTGCAGACTGCAAAGGACGAGAGGACAACACAGAGTCCAACCCGCCCCCGCCCCATGCTATGGGTGATCTTTGCATACTTTGAAATTTCCAGGCCACCCATAAAATCCTTAAAAATGTGATTGGATGCCTATTCAAATATCAGGCTAAAGCCAGAGAGTGCTTGGAGCTGGTTTCCTGCCCCAGAGCTGACTCCTTTGCTCAAGGGCTGAGCAAAGCCCAGGAGGGGACTCCTGTGCCCAGGAACTGAGGTTGGCCCTGGGGAATGAAACAGCCTAATTCAGGAAAGCACTGCAGAGCACATATGGTGCATTGGCCCATCCTCTGATGAAGTGCCTGCTTGTGGCACACATGTTTCCTGGGCAGGAGCCATGAAGGTGAGGGTGCAAGGGTATCATGGTAAGCACCTAGACACATCACCACCTTCCTGACAGTTGTGTGAGCAATTGGCAATTTGCAGCTGGCCTCAACTGGCAAAGAGCAGTTTGAGCAGCAGCACCTGAGCAAGAGGAGAAGGGCCAAGTGGGATGTGATTGCTGCATGTCCCACCTCAGGTGTCCCTGTCTGTGGGCATCACCCCTTAGTGAGGAAAGGCTTTGCCATTGGATTTTTCCTAACATTTCCTAAAGGTTGCTGGCCTGCAGACTGCTTTTGCAGAGGCTGTGGCTAGCTCTACATGGACTGCACATATCTTCCCCCCCCCAGGTGATGAGTTGGGGACCTGCCTGGTTGAGAGGCACCATGGCCACATCTCATTGCTCTGGGACATGGCTCCAGGGTGGCCTTGGGGCATCTCTGCTACTTTAATTGTGCACAGCAGCATCCCTGGGGTACCACTGGCATGACCCTACTGCACGGGGTGGCCAAGTGGGTGCCAGTATCCCCAGGCAATGTCCCATGTCACTGGAGCTGGAGGATGGCAGTGTCAGAGCATAGGGGGCAGGCAGGAGGTGCAGGTGCTACCTCAGCCCACAGCAATAACATCTTAGAATCACAGAGTCATTTAGGTGGAAAAGACCTTCATGATCACCAGTCCAACCACCAATTGACCTACCAAGTCCCATCATTAAACTTAGTGCCAGGTCCACATGTCTCTTAAATACCTCCAGAGATGGGACTTCCCTGGGCAGCCTGTTCCACTGCTTGACCCCTCTCTCCCTGAAGAAATTCTTCCTAATCTTCTTGCTTTGGCTTTCCTCAGAGGCATGAAGGTCATCGAAAACAGGGCCATGAAGGATGAGGAGAAGATGGAGCTCCAGGAAATGCAGCTGAAGGAGGCCAAACACATAGCAGAAGAGGCTGACCGCAAATACGAGGAGGTGTATGCCAGCACCCATGTGCCCCCTTCCCCAGCCCTGACCCCCAGTGTCACCTGGGGTCACCCCCCTGAAGCCCTGCACCCCGAGCTGGATCTGATGCCTGCCTTTTGATGCCACCAACAGGTCGCCCGCAAGCTGGTCGTCCTTGAGGGAGAGCTAGAGCGCTCGGAGGAGAGGGCAGAGGTTGCAGAGAGGTGAGCAGGGCACCCGGTGTGCAACGCATGAGGGTCCCACACCAGCCCTACCCCATGTCCGTGGAAGCCAGGGGCAGCTGTGTGTCCATGTGGGGACAGGGATGGCCCTTCCCAGCCGTTGGGGTGCTCCCTGGCTGGTGAGCTGGGAGTGGGGGGGAGGCAGAGGGATGCTGGCCCCCGGTACGTCCATGACCTGCTCTCTGCTGCCCCCCCCCCCGGGGCACCCCTTTTCCACCCCAGCCGAGTGAGACAGTTGGAGGAGGAACTGCGGACCATGGACCAGACCCTCAAATCCCTCATTGCCTCAGAGGAAGAGGTACTGCAGCAGGGGCATGGGGCTATGTGCAGCAGCCCCCTCTCTCTCTGTTGCTGTCTCTCGAGCCACGCAAGCCACCTCTCTTCTTTGCACTGCTGCCTCGGCCGCAGCCCTCACCTTGCCTTTCCTTCTATCGCTGTGGGCAGGCGTGGAGCCAGCGTGGGCTGGGCACGCTCCTCCATGTCCGCTCTCCTCCTCAGAGGGATGCAGGAGCATGGTGGCAGCAGTGGCAGCAGAGACGCATGGTGACACACAGAGGCACAAGGAAGGGACCCATGCCTGGTGGCTCTGCTCCTCCTCCACCTGCACTACCTGAGTTTTCTCCTCTCTCAACTTGTTCTCTCTCTTTCTTTCCTCCTTCCCTGCGCCCGCTCTTTCTGCTCCCCCTTCTCTCCATCACTCCCTCCCCGTCCCTGCTCCCCTGCCTGGTGGCCTCCACTTGGGATATAGTAAATGTGGTGACCTAGAGGAGGAGCTGAAAATTGTCACCAACAACTTGAAGTCCCTGGAGGCCCAGGCTGACAAGGTAGGGGCTGCTGGGGCTGGGCACAGTGCTTGGGGCTGAGGGGGATGGGGCTCCCTCGCTGAGGTGAAGGATGACCAGTGGTGTCCCACGGGGCTCATGGGCACACCTCTCTGTCCCTGCAGTATTCCACCAAGGAGGACAAGTACGAGGAGGAAATCAAGCTCCTAGGGGAAAAACTGAAGGAGGTAAGGCTCTTGGTTTGGGTCTCCGTGGGTACAGGACACACTCTGGCAGCAGCAAAATAATCTCTCACCTCCCAAGCTTGGAGGCTAATTCAGGTGCTCGCCACCTTTGAGGAGCCCAGGTGCAGGAGATGCAAATGGGGCAGTTTTGGGGTGTGGGACAGGCTTGGGATGTGGGTTTAGGGACATCCCCATCACGCTCAGCCTCTTCCTGCTGTGCTTCCACAGGCGGAGACCCGGGCAGAGTTTGCTGAGCGGTCTGTGGCAAAGCTGGAGAAAACCATTGATGACTTAGAAGGTAAAATGGCCCTGCCACCCTGTGCCCCTCTTTCCCAGGGAGAACGGAACAGGACATATTCCCGGGGGGGCTTGGCTGGACTGAGGCTGAAGCACCCCATGTGCAAGCTGAGGCAGGGATCCTTGTGCAGGAGGTGGGCAGGAACCCCAGGAGGGAGGCTAGGATGCTGTGGGGGTGGAGTGCTGGGGTCCCTGGGTGGGAAATAGGGCTGCATCCATGCTGCCTGTGCCCAGTGCCGTACCTGCACGTTCCTGCCGCCCTCATCTCCTGCTCACCATCATTCTCTCTCTGCCACTTGCCCCATCCCCGCTCCACCACCTGCCCCCCCCCACCTCCCCCCACCTGCAGATGAAGTGTATGCACAGAAGATGAAGTACAAAGCCATCAGCGAGGAGCTGGACAATGCACTTAACGACATCACCTCACTCTGAGCCCCTCCGCTGGGCACTGACACCCCTCCCCCACCTGCCTCCCTCCTCCCCAGCTCAGCCGCTTGCCTACCCGCCCCCCCCACCGCTCCTCCTGCCTGCCCTGTTCCCTCTCTGTCCTTCCTGGCCCGCGTCTGGCAGTCACAGGAGCCAGCCTGGGGTGTCCCCACAGTGTCCCTCTTTTGGGGGAAAACAAAAACAAGGCGTAGGTGCTATGGGGTGTTTGGGGTAAAGGGGAGCAGCCCCCATGCGCCTCGGGGTTACAGGTGGCTTGCAGGGGGGACGAAGCTGTGCCCAGGAGCCCTTTGCTCCAGCCTACCCCCACCCCCCCCGGCAGCACAAGAACCAGGGATCCCGCATCCCCCAACAAAGCCTCGGTGCTTCTCACCGAGCCTAGGGTGGGGGGGGACACATCCAGAAGCAGCACCTCTGAGGAGGGGTGGGCTCTGGCCTGGGGGCTGAGGGGGTGTCTGGCCCCAGGCAGGCAGCCCCCAGCCCCACTGCTCCCCTCCCCGCTCCCCTCTTTCCTTTGCACATTGCTCTTCAGTTTGCATTTCATTACTTTTTTTTGTTGTTGTTGTTCTGTCCCTCTGGGTTACTGAGTTGGTCTCAATAAAGTGTTTTCTCTCCTTGGTTTCTCCTTTGTTTTCTTCATGCTGCTCTGGTTCTCCACTCTCATCCTTCATTTCCTGCTGTCTCACATGGGTACTGGCAGCCAAGGGCGGGAGGTGGCCGAAAGGACTGCATGGCTGCAGCTGAGCCCCTTTGTGCCTCAGCCCGGGGATGTCCCCCACCACCTCCAGCTCGCTTGAGCACAGCTTTCCTCATCTTGTGCCACCTTCCAAGATGTTCTCCATCACTCTTTTGGCCTGAATTAATAGGGTTAGACCCGGTCCTGTCCATTCCCCATCTGCACTCCTGGACATCGCAACAACCTCTCACAGCCCTGACCGCTCTTCTCCATCACCCGCTCTTGCCAATGGGGTTGGCCCTACTATTTGGCAGCGGTTCCTGGCCCATAAATGGGTCCCCAATCCTCCTCCTCCTCCCTCAGCATCCTACCCTGCCCTACAACCCTGTCTCAGAATTGATATACCTGGGACTGGCTGCTTCCTCCTGCCATCCCCACTGGTCCCCAGTGTCGACTAGGTGGCCACGAGGTGCCCAGCAAAGGCTCTTGTGGGCAGCACTGTCTCTTCACTAACTTGCTTTTCTCTCTCCCCTTTGCTGTGCTGACATCTCCGTTTTCTCTAGAGCACTCCCGGCAGGAAGCTGAGAAAAACTGCGTTCTCACTAACGAGCTGTGGGTCATTCTTACTGAACTTAACAACTGAGCTGCAACAGCTCCAGCCCCAGCCCAGGCTTCCGCCCCCAGGATGCTCCCAGCCCCGACTGCTCCCTGCCCTGTTTTGACCAGGCTGGTTTGGGGCTGGGAGCCCCTGCCCACTCCCCCCTGGGGTAATTGTCCTGCTTGGGGGGACAGGGAGCCCCTGCAGAGGTGATGTTTTTTTTTCTTGAGAGAGGGATGAAGGGTTTTGCCATGTCCCGGGATGCCCACACGATGGTGGCTGTCCCCTGGCATCGACCTGGCCTCACTGGAGAGGGACACAGTGGCTTCTGTCGCTGTGGCTTGTGTCACTGCCTTCCTTCTCTTGTCCCAGGTGGCCAGCTGCTTCCCCCTCCCTCTGGGCACCCCAAACCATGCAGGGAGGATGCCCTCGCGGTGGGGTCCCTGCAGGGTGCTGGGTGGGCAGAGCCCTCATCCCATCCCCATCTCTAGCAGGAAGGCAGATGCCATCTGGAAGCCAGCGCTGGAGGAGGCTCCCCTGGCACCAGGCCGCCTGGCGGAGCTCGTCCTTGCAGCCTCATTAGGTCTGCTCCTTCTCTGCTGTCCTCTCTGCCCACCTTCCTGTCCTGCTGTCTCACTCTTCTTCACAGAGCACTTGGCTCATGCTGCAGGCACTGGCTCTCCTCTTTCGCTGGCTGAGGGTTTGTGCATATGCCCGTTGAAGCCAGCGGGGACAGCAGGATGGGGAGATGGGGCCACAGTGGCAGCTGGCTGGGGAGTGGTACCCATACCCTGGTGGGGCTGGCTAAGGGCAACAGGGTGCAGTGGGAGGAGGGAGAAGCTGAACAGCAGGGACTGCCTGACACCCAGGGATCGCAGAGGGTCTGGGCTCATCCCTGCTGGTGCTGGGGCTGCTAGACAGGGACGCCCCCCTCAGACTGTTACCGTACTGAGCTGCCCATCTGTGTGCGTGGGTCCAACTGTGCCTGGATATGCTTGTGCCATGTCTGTGTTCGTGGCTGGCTGGGTGTCCCTTGTGTTCACAGAGAGTCTGGCCAGTGCTAAAGAGGAGAATGTGGGCATCCACCAGGTCCTGGACCAGACCTTGTTGGAGCTGAACAACCTCTGAGCTGCCTGGGGAGCCCCCGCCCCTCTTCCCTACCCTACACGTGCACTTCACTGGCACGCTCAGGATGTCATCAGCTGAACTGCATCTTGGCCAAATCCACACATCCATTGAAAAGGGAAGCCCTGCAGCCTTACACTGTGGCTCAAGGGGCATCTTGTCTGTGCACAGCCCGAACGGCTCTGTCCTGTCTTCATGTCCAACTATTAAAGCAATTTGACAAGAAGGATGAGTGTGCTTGGTCATTGTGGGTGGGTACAGGCACTGGGAGATGCAGGGCCACTCTGCAGGGGCCTTGCTATGGGGCAGGTATGTCCTCCTTGGCCTTGGGATGGGACTGACAGCAAGGATGCACAGGAAACCTCAAAGTCTCAAGCTCAGTCCAAACTGAGCATCCTCCTCAAGTGCACAGCAGCAGAGAGATGTTACTAGCGTGTCCCTTTCCACCACTGTTATGTTATCTGCCGGGCACTTGCAGAAGTTGCATGGTCTTTGACAGAGTCAATGGAGAATTGACTCTGCTCCATGGCCTGTGCTAATGATGCCACCTGAGCACATGTACAAGTGTGTGACCACACACATGCACATGTTGTTACTTACCAGGGTCTTCTCCAGTTCTAGAGCTGCTCACCCTGCATACTAGTTACATTTTCTATTACCAGCTGCCTGAGGGACAGCTGTATAAACTAGCAAATACTAATATGGCAGGCAACCAATTCCCAGAGCGTTCAGGAAGTTTCCTTCTGTTCTGTTGTATTTTCTCCAACACAAAATGAAGAGTGGCAGGATGTGTCTCATCACTGTCACCAAAAAGGGATGGACTCCCTGGGGATGCCCAAAGCTGTGATCTAGCCCTGCCCTCTGCTTCGGGCCCCTCTGAAGCTTGCGCAGAGCCCTGCTGTCCCACACCACTCAGCAGATATCACTCTGGCAGGACAGCCTCATGTGGCCAGGAAATATTAATTCATACTGACCCCTCTCTGGGCCAAGCCATCACTCCAGCAAGTGACAGGGAGAGCTTTCCCTATCTGCTTTCCTTTATTTGCAGCACCCCTCAGCTCAGGAAAGGATGGAGAGAGTGCAGCTCTTTCCTGCCCAGGTGTTTCTGGCCCCTCAAATCACATTTGGAGTTCTGAAGGCCTTTGACTACGCAGCAAAGGGCTCCCCTTTGATATTGTATAAACTCACTTTAGGATAGAATAAAACTTGTGTTTAAAAATTAGCGAGAACAAAATAGATGACATCTTGTTATCTGTTGACCTTCTGTTATGTTGAAGCATCTTGTTATTTGAAACATCCCGTTATCTGTCAACCCTCAGTCAGGCTGAGACTTGAGATAACTTGAGTCAACTATCTGTAATGTCTTGTTAACTGAGACATCCTGTTATCTGCCGACCCTCAGTTAAACTGAAAGCCAACTCAGCATTTTTACAGCTTGGAAAACAACTGATTAAGCAAAGGTGAAAAGTGCATCACGAGGAAGACCTACGGCCTTCCTCCCAAAGACCACTGCCCACATCCCGAAGACCCTGGCCCACAATTCTTGGAAGGCTTTGTGCAAACGCAAGGACTGATAAGCTAATTAGCATATGAAGCGAGAGTAGGTGGGGTTAGGTAATGAATATGTATAGGCACTAATATAATATTCATTGTTTCGCTGTATAAATATGAGATAGTTTGCCACTTCGAACATGCACGATAGGCGGAAAGATCCCCCATGCATCCAGCACTGCAATAAAGAATATACCACTTAAGGAAATTTCGGCTTCGATCTTTAAATCACCTTGCATGGGCACTCCCTGCTCTGTGCCTCAGTGCTCATTCTCCATTGGGTTGTCACATCATGGGACATGGTGCTGGAGGAGAAGTATGGTGCTCTCCTGGCTGTCTGAGCTTGCTCAGTGCAAAGGTTGGGGGTTTCAACAAATCACTGTGTTAAGCTGATATTTAGTGAGCACCTCCCTGAAATGGATTTGTCTGGCTGTAAAAGGAACAAGAGGGCAAAAACACCTCTTGTCTGGAGCCTGTCCCCATGCAAAGCACCCTGCCCTGCAAACAATCCTGCCTGGCCTCCCTATCAGGGTGCGTCCCCAGTGCCCAGCTTCTGGGCATCACTCACCTTCCTGCCAGGACAAAGAGCCCTTTCACACCCAGTACTTTTCCCCATTCCAGCCTCCTGGATAGGATTGGCCTGTTTAACCATTTACATCCCTCTGCCATATCCTACTTCACCTCTGAACTTGCTGTTTCTGTGGAGGCTCTGGTGATTGTTCCCAGTGATGCTCTGCCCATGGTCACCAGCTGATCCCCAAGGGCCCAGCACTGCTCTGCCTTCCCTTCACCCTCTGCTCCCCCTTGTTCTATGAGAAAGTGGGGAGCCCCAGGAGGCTGGTACTGGCCAAGTCTCAGCTAGGAGCCATGTTCCTGCCATGCCTCCCCATGCAACCCTCTTGCTGCATCTCAGCCTTTGGATGTGCTGACCTGGGTCTGATAGCTCAATGATCAGAGAATCACAGAATGGTTTGGGTTGGGAGGGACCTTAAAGACCACCTAATTCCAGCCCCCCTGTCATGGTCAGGGACACCTCCCACCAGACCAGGTTGCCCAAAGCCCTATCCAGCCTGGCCTTGGGCACTGCGAGGGATGGGGCATCCACAGCTTCTCTGGGTAGCCTATGCCAGTGCCTCACCATCCTCTGAGTGAAGAATTTCTTCCTGATGTCTAACCTAAATCTCCCCTCTTTTAGTTTAAAGCCATTCCCCCTTGTCCTATCACTACAATTCCTGACAAAGAGTCCCTCCCCAGCTTTCCTGTAGGCCCTCTTTAGGCACTGGAAGGCTGCTATAAGGTCTCCCTGGAGCCTTCTATTCTCCAGGCTGAACAACCCCAACTCCCCCAGCATCTCTTTGTAAGAGAGGTACTCCAGCCCTCTGAGCATCTTTGTGGCCTCCTCTGGACTTGCTCTAGTACTTCCATGTCCTTCTTGTGCTGGGGGCCCCAGAGCTAGGTGCAGTACTCCAGGTGGGGTCTCACGAGAGCAGAGCAGGGAGGGACAATCACCTCCCTTGACCTGCTGTCCATACTTCTTTTGATGCAGCCTGGGATACAGTTGGATTTCTGGGCTGCAAGCACACATTGCAGGCTCGTGTCGAGCTTCTCATCAACCAACACCCCCAGGTCCTTCTCCTCAGGGCTGCTCTCAATGCATTCTCCTCCCAG